TGAGAGAACACCTAATGAGACCAACGAGGAGTACATGTACAGTAAAAGCATCCGTATCTTACCTTTCACCAGAAACGCGAAATGAATTTGTCATGGCAAATCATGTGAAGGAGATTCTTGTCCAGGATATAAAAACTGCGAGGTATTTTGGAATTATGTTCGACAGCACACTTGACATATCACACGCTGACCAGATGTCTGAGGTGATCAGATATGTGAAAATCCACAATGGGAAAGTTAAAGTGAAATAAGTGTTCCTTGAATTTTTCCCTTTAAGTGGGAAAAAAGCTGATGACCTCAGTTCTGACATTCTTACAAATCTGAAACGCGACGGACTTGACATAATGATGTGCAGAGCTCAAGGCTACGATAATGCTGCAACAATGTCTGGAATCCATGGAGGTGTTCAGGCCATTCTGAAAAGAAAGAATAAGAATGCGATTTTTAATGGGTGCGTGGACCATTCACTGAACTTGTGTGGCCACACTCTTTTGCCGAAAATGCTTCATGTGTTACATTTTTTGGTACTCTTGAGAGAATATTTTCATTCTTTGCTGCTTCCTCATCGATGGGATGTTTTGATTGAACACACTGGGATGTTGGTGAAAAGGTTATCAGCAACACGTTGGAGTGCTCATTATGCTGCTGTTAAGCCATTGAAAGATAAGTTTGATGAATGTATGGCGGCGATTGAAGCTCTATGTGATCCTAGTGAAAATTTGGACACAAGTGGTACAGCACAAGGTCTTTTAAATGCTGTCGGTGATTTCACGTTTATCTGCTACCTTTACCTCTGGGCTGATCTACTTGAGAAAGTCAATCTTACCCAGCAGTACCTGCAGACTAAAGGCTTAACTCTTGACAAATTTATGACTAAGAGGCCTTAAGATTGTTTCTGCACGAGAAACGCAGTCACTTAGTTGAGCATGCAATTGAACAGGTTCTTTCAAAATCAGACCAATATGGAATTTCGGTATCAAGAAGATTAAGGTTCAAGAAGAGAATGGCAGGGGAACAACTGAGAGACGCTGGACTATCTTCGAGAAGAAAACAGTAGGGAGATGCTGGAATGTATTGATCGTTTTCATTCTGAACTCCAGATGAGATCAAAAGCGATCAAGGAAGTAGCAGATATGTGTGCGCTGTTCAACCCAAGAGTCTACTATCGGCAAGTCAAGAAGAGTTACTGGTGTCCGTTCCCAAATTAACCTCTTTTTATTACGAGTTATCTGAAGATGAGCTTTTAAAAGAAATATCAAGGTTTAGAAGGCACCTGAAAGCAGCTGATATTGATCTCCACAAAGCCATGGACTGGTCATTGTTTGATGTTTTGCAATTTATAGCTGAATGGGACTTCCTTGAATCTCTCCCAATACTGTCTCTAAGCCTTCATTTATTTTTCACGATCTGTGTGTCTGAGGCTTCATGTGAGCGGAGCTTTTCAAAACTAAAGCTGATAAAGAACTATTTACGATCCACCACGAGACAGTCATGACTTTCTGATCTGGCTCTATTATCAATTGAAAGTGAGACCGTGAAGGACATAGACTTTGATGAAGTGATTGACAGGTTTGCAGCTCTGAAGACCAGGAAAGGAAAATTTTAAAGAATGTATTAATATCTATAACTTAACGTTGTTACAGTTCTTTAATACTTGTGCTCGCTCACCTTCAGTTAACTTGTTTTTTGTTCTTGTCATTTTGACACTGTCGACTTATTACATGCTGAATAAATAAGAATAAATCTGTGGTCGAAATCTGGAGGGGTGACACCGTGAGTTTACCGCACTGGGTGACACCAACCCTAGCGACGCCACTGTGAGGGACATTACTTAGCTATAAAATTACCTAGCTCTAAATGAGCTCATTGTACATACCAACACATCATGCTCGAAATATTATTGATTTGCTCATATCTGTATATAGGAATCCATTCATTTATGTTTCCTGCTACCTTTCGCAAGCATGTATTTGGTAAACAACCCCTTATTTCATATTTTCTTTTTCAAGCATGTGTCATGTCGTCATTTTGAGTTATTCTTTGTAGTTCACAGCCTAACTTATTCACTTATCCATTTCAGTGGATTCTCTCGTGTATAAATAGTAAAGATCCACAGATAAATACCATCCGTCAGATAGATTTCATCGCACTAATGGGTATAGAAATATCGATTAATTGTTAATTAAATTTTTAAACTTATTGCTTACATATTCTTCGCCCCTTGTCAGCATTACATACAGCTATTTAACTTACTTGTTCGTGTAATACATTCTCTTTTGATACATACGTTTGAGTGGCCCTCCACAATTTCTGACATTACATATTTTTTCCTCCACTGCATCACTAACACAATAGGGAAGGTGGAGGGTTGTCGCATCTTCTGTGTCCTTTCATCAATCCTACACCACAGGACGTACTGCATGTGCCCCATGCTTCCCATGACGACCAACTGCCGTGATCTGGCATGAAATGCAATCAGTATAGTCTTTTTCAATATTGTTTTCAACATCAAGTAAGCATTGGCTCCATGAATTTCATATCACGTAATTTCCTATATTTCTTTTTTAAGAAATGGGCAAAAAAACCTTATGAACAGTTTTCTTTCTTGTTTATATACCTTGTTAATATATGAAAGTTGTCGCAAGTAGACATAGGTTAAAATGAGACTTTATTTAGCCTATTGCTTCTATATACTCAAGAGCTAGTGACCAACGTTAAAACACTAAAGGATCAAGTCTCTCTCTCTCTCTCTCTCTCTCTCTCTCTCTCTCTCTCTCTCTCTCTCTCTCTCTCTCTCTCTCTCTCTCTCTCTCTCTCTCTCTCTCGGGTGATAAAAGAACATAGCAGATCATGGCCAGTTGTTTGCGATGATGACTCTACAGATTGCCTTCTTTGTTATTTTACCTATTGAGCGCGCGCTCAAGTATTTCAGTATTTTCATCCAAGACCTAAGAGGTAACCAGTTTTCCTTAACATCCAAGCTCTGTTAGAAATAATTGCTCAACTGTAACATATGCTTAACAATCCTTTTAAAACTACTATACCCTTCTTGTGTGTTATACAGAAATAAACACAAAGGTGACGTGATGAAAGATTTTATGCATTTTATTTCCTGTCCAATTGTTACAAGATCACATCTCTCTCCAGGGTCTCATCTTTTCCGAAGATAAATACTAGTTTAAAAGCTGACCTTATACCAGTTTAAAAGCAGACCTTATACCAGTTTAAAAACAGAACTTATACCAGTTTAAAAACAGACGTTATACCATAGACCTTATACCAATTTAAAAGCAGACATTATACCAGTTTAAAAGCAGACCTTATACAAATTTAAAAGCAGACTTTATACCAATTTAAAAGCAGGTCTTGAATCCAAATTGATTAATTTTCAGATTCTCCAATAAAGATTAAGGTTAGGATATTTATTGCATTAACGGATGTCACATGTTGAACACAACTCATAGTTTTGTGATACCAAATTTACCCTGATAACTTATAAAACAGTTAAAATTAAAGAGTTATAGACAAAAAAAAGTATAAAAGAGCTTTTAATATTATTATTAATTTTTTATTATTATTATTATTATTATTGTTATTATTATTATTATTATTATTATTATTATTATTATTATTATTATTATTATTATTATTATTATTATTATTATTATTATTATTACAGTGAGACCTGTTGATATTGGAACAGGTGACAGACATGTTATACAGACCTCAGAGGAATATGAAGCACTATATTTAAGCAATTTATTTTAATCATTTCGCACGAGCCATGGAGTTTCAAAGAGAGAGAGAGAGAGAGAGAGAGAGAGAGAGAGAGAGAGAGAGAGAGAGAGAGAGAGAGAGAGAGAACAACAACAACAACAAAATATGTCTAAATATAGAAACACGGGTCCAAATAACACATAAGGACATGTGTGTGTGTATTATATATATATATATATATATATATATATATATATATATATATATATATATATATATATATATATATATATAATTTTAAAAAATATCTCATTATGAAATATTTAAATAAATTCGAATATCGGAAATTGATTCGGAGGTCACCATAGCAAAAATTCCCAAATTTATTTTAAAAAATTTGGGCGGACGAATATCTCGCGAAATGTGAGTAGAAGAGAGTCTTATAAATTGATAAGTCTTAACAATAACATTCGACAAAGTTTCAGCATTCAGTGAAGTACCTACACATTTATATTAAGTTTTTTTTTTTACAACAACTTTGCCATGAAAAATAAAAACAATTGAAGAAAGGACATTGTTTCAGTTATCTGCAACTATTGCTGTTAGTGATAACACATAATATAGTCCTTGATGGTGTAAAGTTCTTATGACTTAATAATATCACTGGATTGAGGAAAATTAAAAATTGTTTTCATTTGTTTCCTAGGCCTTTTAAGCATGCAGTTGTAAAGATTAATGACGATCTGATTACAAATGGTATATGTCATAAACAAGAAGGCACATTAATGCATCGAACTTTTGCCATTATGATGTCGTCTAATTCGCCTGCCATTATAATCCATATCCTGAAATATCATTAAAATTGGTTAAGGAATAAATACACGTCATATTTATGATTTTATACGTTCTAGATGATTTTTTATCCGGTTTTTTATATTAGTTTTATTGTGTTTAAAGACTGGAAAGAATTAAGTTTACGTGACTTAATATTGCGCAAGAATCGGTATAAGTTCAAATAATCTTGCAAATATTCCTTACCCCGTTTCACATCCTAAGGTATAACTTGCTCCGTTTGCGTTGTGTGTCCGTTGAACACAGCAGACCTAAAATTATGAAAGAGACTTTTTAGTAAATGATTCATTTTCAATCAAACCAAAATATGTTTCCTTGAATATCAATATATACGGTCTATATCTAAGAATTGGTGCAGTCCAATGAAACTAAAATTTAAGATACATATTCTACATTTTTCATTTAACAAAATCACTGACCTGTGCCTGCCCGCTTCTGTGGCCTAGTGGTTAGAGCGTTTGCTTCGGATGCGGGAAGTCGCGGTTTCGAATCCCGGTTGAGTCATGAAAAAAGACTTTTAAAAATTGGTACTATTAGCTGCCTAGCTTGGCTCTCAGCATTAAGAGTTCAGTGTTAGGACTGGTCGGCCTGGTGTCAGGATAATGTGACTGGGTGGGACATCATGCCAAATGTCTGTGGAATGATGCTCCATTACAAGACATCACTATAAACTGTCATACTGAAGACATCGTAGCAATATGACCGACAATTGTTAAAACAACGTTAAAAATCTAAATCACACACACACACACACACACACACACACACACACACACACACACACATACACACACACTGACATGTGCCTCATTAACAGTAGAATTCCAGCATATTCGTTTGCAAATAATTATAATGTCTAAACTTAGAACAAAAACACATAATAATATATGATAAACAGTATTAATTACTATTAACTGTAACTGTACCATACTTTACTTGTTTCACAGTTATGTATGTATGTATGTATGGATATACATATGTATGTATGTATGTATGTATATATATATATATATATATATATATATATATATATATATATATATATATATATATATATATATATATATATATAATTATCAAAACCCGCTACGGAATATAACGTTCATTTCATTTTCAGTGCAGTAAGGAGGATGTCATTGCACTTGGAATTTGGAATGTAATGGAGATTACATTAAAATTTCAAGCTGTGTAATCAAACTTTGGAACCCACGACATAGCTCATATAATTCGGATTTGCAGAACTAAAAAAGTACATTTTGAGGAAATTCAGTATGTAAAACTTTAAGTATATTTTCTGCCATTCTTTTTACCAGTCAGAGAGACACCTTTATGCCTTGTCACTTGCATGCTATTTGTAGGGATTCAAGCAATTTTATGACCTGTCTGACGTCTATCACTAACCTTAATCCGAAACATTGTATCACAAAAGTTAACGCGGAATATTGCATTCCACGAGAAAGCTGCTTTAGTTCATTCAGAAACAAATTTAATCAACCAAAACATAAAGTGCCTACAACATGAATTTATATGATTTGTTTACAAAGTATTTCCTAATGCACTATTGGGCACACGTATCGTGCACGTGAGTGCAATATGAAATATGGAATATCGTAAAGTATTGTTCGATTCTGACAATGTAAAGTTAATGGAAACAAAAATGAGCATTATAATAAATTTTGTTCTGGTATAAACTTTCCAGGACTCCCTTGGACATTTGGTTGATATTTTTGCATAAAATCAATCATAAATATTTTAAAGGTGTGAATGGAATTTAATGTTTACTTTCAAAATTATGATCGCGCTCAATCTGTGTGTGTTAAGTGAGACGAGGATGGCGCTAGCTCCCACTAATAAGCTAAGCCGATGAGAATTGAGTATAACCATCTATATCTAATCGTTAACATTTTTAGTGCAAAGACTAATCTCCTCCTCCAAAAAAAAAATAAAAAAGTTTGGAGGTATTTCTGTGAAATTACACTGATTCACAATCGTATCGTGAATAATTTTGGCTATTAACTGCGTTCTTTTTATGGATCAGAGGACATGAAACTCTCCTTGACTGTAATATCAAATATCACGAGACAATTAAGTGAAACTGTAGCGTTCATAAAATATCTTTCTTTCCAGACAGACGGGCAACACAACATGATCACAGACCTTTAAATAATTCAAGCGGATGCGAAATTCAACTTTAAATGTCATCTCTTAGCGTTTCGAAGCAGATTAAGTGTATACGTATAACCAAACCGAATGATCATTTTAAAAAAAAGTTTGACCAAGAGGTCAGCGACAGCACAGATTCCAGTGTTAATACTGTAGTTAATTTGGGGAATGTGCTATTTGTATATATTTCTCTATTTTGAGGATTTATTAGATTTTTGTGAATATTCATCAGCCGAGTAATTAACAAACGACACAGAGTGCAGTGGTGATAAGATTTCGTGATGGCATGGATTAGTTTCGTTGTCAGCAATGGTCAGTGTCGCATAAGTGGGAGTGAGCCAAATAGTTCATATTAAAATCTAATTTTGTTGATTGACTGTACATCCTTGTGTGAAGTATGTGCGATGCGGCTGATAATTTGTACAATGGAATAATTAAAGTGGGGTTGTTCCATTACCTGGAGTTGTCTTTTATTGTTGCTATGATGGTAAATAGTGTTTAGAGTTAAGGCAAAATGAGGCATAGAATCATGATTTGGTTAGGGTAGGAAAAATAATTCCCGGAATAGTGTTTGAGTTGTTACTTGTATTTTATGTTAATTAAGGACCGTCGCTACGTTACGAAAATCCAAAAAAGAAAAACCATGCAGTTGTGAGGTTGCCATGCAAATGGTGAAATTATAATGCAAATGTGAAGTTGTGATATTTGTAGTCATGCACTGACCAGAGGAAAATAATTATAGGCTGGACGCGCTGAAATTTCCAGTAAACAACGATTGTTGATGAGAACTACGCGGAAATCAGGGAAAACAAGTGACTTCTAGTACGATTTACGCTAGGGTTAGATTCACTCGGAAAAGAGGCCTCTTTAATTTATTACAATACATAGATACCCTGAAATTCATAAAAACCAAGCCAGCTTCTCGCACGCTCATGGGTAGCAATATGTGTAATAAGTAACAGAAAATTCATAAACATTCTAATTATGACTTGTTTATAAAAACTCTGTTCTTGCTGAAAATAACAGCCAAGATATTCTGCAAGATTAAAAGTAACTCCAGAAAACTATGTAGTTATAAAGTTTCGCTTATAGGTGTTTGAAGAATTGTGTCAAAAGTGTCCTTAGTGCACCATTTAATTTACATATAGTAATTACTGTACGCTTTGAAACGATTTCTCAATTAACTATGTTCGTTAAAATGCTTTACGTTTCTAAGCTGCTAATGTGAATATCTTCGTTCAAACTGTTAAAGAAGAGCCAATATTTATACTTACAGCATCCAGGCAAACTGGTCAGAGCTATGAAAATTAGTGAAAAATCTGGAAACAATGGAATGAAAATAAAAAGTTTCTTAAATAGCAAGTTAACTAACAAGCAATGTTGTTTACTTTCAGTATTTTGATATTAATAGATTAGAAAGAAAAAGGACTGAGAAAGAAGTTGGAGGGTTGATGAGTCATCCCCATGAGAGATTAACATTATCATAACGAAGGCTCTCAAAAACTTCAGAAAAGAAAGGAAAATTGAGAAATATTTTATTTCAAAGCAAAGTGTTCGCACGCACTCTTTAATCCTTGTATGCCGACTGTGTTTCTATATTGTCGTAAGACAAATTCTTTCGTTTTCCAGAGTAAATTCAATGAAAATATAGTCTCCAATCGTGCCAAAACGCTCCTGTGTACAAGCTGTTCGAAAAATGAAGACAGGATTATAACTTCCGTTACAACATTCGTTATGACTGTATCAGGTTAATTACATGACAAACGCCTCCATGTTCACTACAGAAGCCACATCAATACTCACATGTTTGAAATACTTTTAAACATCTCCAAAAAGAAAATTTGTCCGTTTCCACGATATAAAACTAAGCCATTAAGGGCATTGGGGGGGGGTAAATTGGACGTCCTTTAGGAACGGTTTTATTTACGTACATCTACATCGAAAATTTCCAATTTGACTACATTATAGAAATTCCTTCGAAATTGAATCGTCTTCTGCATCCTACATCATAGATTTTGTCCCATTACTATGATTTCCTACTTTCAAACTCTACTTTGGTAAACGTTTGCGGTCAATCGTTACTGTGAAAATTGGATGCAGTTTCCTAATTAATTTGTATCTGAGTCAGACTAATTATGTATCCTGCGACTTAGTGATGCAAGAGATTTTGCATGGAAATGAAATGAATGAATCTGTTTGTTTTTCCAAATCTAAGCAGTTACCAATATTCCCATATCAACAAATACTAAATATATTTTAGTGAATGTCACATAATGTGATCGCCACTTTTTACATATTTGCATGTTATTGTACATCACAATATGAAATAAATTACTTTTATGTGGGAATTTAAATAAGATCGCTAAATATGTAATACTACAATCAGATCAAAATTAAAATATAGCAAAGATCATAAATTTCATATTGAAAGAAGATCATCGGGAAAAAAACAAACTGATCTAATGAAGCTAATCAGTTCAAGCAAATCTTGTTTTACCATAAACCCAAACAACTGAAAATTCAATACGTACTCTCAATTGGTCACTAAGCTAAAGGAGCTTGAAGAATACAAACTAGCCACGCGGTTTTCAGGAAGTGCTTTCGTAACGATACATTTTGAAGAGTAAACATTGACCAGAGTGTATATATTTCCAGAGAGCATTGACACTGAAGCACATTCTTCTTGAATGTATCGATTCGCACTCTACCTAAAAAGTATTTTAATTTTTTTTCTTAATGGGAAATCAGCAAAGGTATTGAGGGAATTCGGTTTTCTAGCAGATGTCTCAGTATACTTTATGGAATTATTTTTCCATTCTCTTTTTATCTACACCATCCTAATATACTTGCGTTACATATTTATGTAAAGACGCAAAGACATACAGCTCAAAATCTTGTCACGCCATATGTTTTGTTGACTGCCTGAATTTCATCAAAAATGTACTTTCTTAGTTCAGCAAATCCGAATTAGGATCACAATGACCTCTTTTCTGATAATGGTGCAGTGCTTGTCAAGGTGCATCTCCACACCAAATTTCACAACTCCATGTAAAACACTATGTAATCTGGGATCAACACACGACTCCATGTAAAACACTATGTAAACAGGGAGTAACTCACGACTCCATGTAAAACACTATGTAAACAGGGAGTAACACACGACTCCATGTAAAACACTATGTAAACAGGGAGTAACACACGACTCCATGTAAAACACTACGTAATCAGGGAGTAACACACGACTCCATGTAAAACACTATGTAAACAGGGAGCAACACACGACTCCATGTAAAACACTATGTAAACAGGGAGTAACTCACGACTCCATGTAAAACACTATG